ACCTTGCTTTGTACTACACTGACACGCTGAGTCGGCATTTTTAACAAGGTAACAGTTCACAGAAAGACACATCTTTCTGACTCCGAGTCTTTGCTCTTACCCCTTAATGCCGAGTGCATGCTTAGTGGAGAAGCAGCAAATAAAAACTTTACAGGATAATAGAATATCACATTTTGAAAATAATTCAGAAGTAAATAAAAGAGTACACAATACGCCTATTTCCAAAATAAGAAATAAACTTCAAGAACTTTCAAAGCGGTTTGTGTTTGAACCGGCCGACAAAGCAGCCAACAATGTGGTGGTGGTATGCCGTAAATACTACACGGACGTTCTTGAGAATGAAATTTTAAATTCATCTACATTCAAGTCCGTGCGCTCCACAGAGAGTCATATAGTAAACAAACATATCATAACCACATCACAGCTTAAGGCTTCTTCTGAACATTTGAAGGTCCCTACTATGTATTGGTTACCTAAACTACACAAAAAACCAGTAAAATATCGTTTCATCTCGGCCTCTAGTAAGTGTTCTACAACTAATCTTTCAGTGCTTTTAACAAGTTCCTTAACTACTATCAAATAACTGATCATAAACTATAATGTAATAAAATATATGAAAATAGTGGAATTAACTATTTTTGGAGCGTAAAAAATTCTTTGGATGTTTTAGATAATTACGTGCTTTTGATGGTCCTTTTTATTCTGTTGACAGTTTTGACTTTTCTACTCTTTACACTACACTTCCACACAATCTTATCAAACAATTTTTTTCCTATTTAATTGAATGGTCTTTTGGTAAATCTGAACGCAAATATATTTGCTGCAACTCATTCTTCTCTAATGAGAAAGGTAAATGAGCTAGCTATGTTGTGATGTTACACTATTGTTTCAGATAAGGGTGAAGGTTTGGTACCATTAAAATGTTTAAACCCGCTGCAATTGTTTGCACCTGTCCTAAGTCAGGAATCTGATGTTCAGTGGTTGTCGTTAGTTGTTGTGGTTCATTCGTGTTTCTCGTTTCTCGTTTTTTATATAGATTAGACCGTTGGTTTTCCCGTTTGAATGGTTTTACACTAGTAATTTTTGGGGCCCTTTATAGCTTGCTGTTCGGTGTGATCCAAGACTCCGTGTTGAAGACCGTACTTTGACCTATAATGGTTTACTTTTATAAATTTTGACTTGGATGGCGAGTTGTCTCATTGGCACTCATACCACATCTTCTTATATCTAGATATACTTACTGGAGGTGTGATGAGATGATTGAAGCTGTTAATTTTCTCCTTGATAATATTTATGTACGTTTCTGCAACAAAGTTTATCGACAGGTTGTAGGTATTCCAATGGGCACTAATTGCGCCCCTTTAATATAAGACTTGTTTTTGTACTGTTATGAATCACAGTTTATGACCAAACTCAGTAAAGACCCATCTAAATTACATTTAATTGATAAATTCAACAACACTTACCGTTATCTTGATGATATTTTTTCGTTAAATAATCAGGAATTTTCTAAATATACTGCCGAAATTTACCCAAAGGAACTTACTTTAAATAAATCAAAGTTAAACGGTAATAACTGTCCTTTCCTAGATTTAGATATTTCGGTTTTACACTGGAAACTTCACACTAACATTTACGACAAAAGGGACGATTGTTCGTTCCCTATTGTTAATTTTCCCTTTTTTCCTTTGGCACCATCTTACGGTGTTTATATTTCACAACTTGTTCGCCATGCCCGTGTCTGTTAAGCCAGGGATTTCGTTACCTCAAATTACTTAAATCCTTTACTAAATTCTTCCATAGATATAAAGATTAGGTTTTGAAGTTTGGTTGTACCTGTAGAAAACTTATTTCAAACGGGATAGCACATCCTCATTTTTACGGAGATGTTGTTTATCGTGCCCGGAAATTTAGAAACGATTCTGGTAAATTATCGATCTTTTAATAAAAATAAACTTATTCTTAAAGGTTACCAATTCAACACTGTAATTACATCATTGAATATTGTTTTTATTGGTATTAATATTGATTTTGTTATCAGTAAATTAAAAGCAAACTAAATATTATTGTTATATTCATATACATATTCATGGATCTACAATCTGTCGATACCTGTATCTTGGCATTGCACAAGGTCATGTTTTTCTCTGACTGTTTATGGCGTCTTAACACTAAATCCATTGGATGTTGGATGTGTAATGATAGATAATTTAGAGTAGATGCATGGTTTTTTTATTAGTTGTTAGTGGCTTTGAACTAGCTGTCAGTAACTGCGAGTACTCTCAAATCTGTACTTAATGTCTTTTTGTTGTTGGGATATACAAGTACCCTGCCACGTTTACTCTGTGTTTTTGTTAGATGTATTTCTGTTTGTATCTATCTGATGAGTTAAGCCTTTTGCAACTGATTTTTATAGTTCGTTCTTATGATGTACTGTTACACCACTGTCCCAGGTTAGGGGGAGGGTTGTGATCCCGCTAACATGTTTAACCCCGCCACATTCTGTATGTATGTGCCTGTCCCAAGTCAGGAGCCTGTAATTCAGTGGTTGTCGGTTGTTGATGTGTTACATATTTGTTTTTCGTTTTTTTTTTGTACTTAAATTAGACTGTTAGTTTTCTCGTTTGAATTGTTTTACATTTGTCATTTCGAGGCCTTTTATAGCTGACTATGCGGTATGGGCTTTGCTCATTGTTGAAGGCCGTACGGTGACCTATAGTTGTTAATTTCTGTGTCATTTGGTCTCTTGTGGAGAGTTGTCTCATTGGCAATCATACCACATCTTCTTTTTTTATATTTACAGTCTTTGTTTGACCAGACTGGGGTTCGAACCCACGACCTCCCGCACTCGAGGCGAACATGCTATCCCGAGACCACAGACGCCGTTCTTAGTCTCAATTGAACTAGTTGCCAGTACTAAGTGTTTTTAGCTTTTTTTCTTAGTTGTTTTTGTGCTACATGTCCATCTGATGAGTCAATCTATTTTTCAATTGAAATTACAGTGTGTTCTTATGCTGTGCTGTTACGCCACTGTTCCAGGTTAGAAACAGGATTAAGCGCTCTTAAACATGTTTAACATTTAGTCCTGTCGCCGGGGGCCTTTATACATGTAGTTTTCTTTACTGTATCGATTTAGCTCATTGTTGAAGACCGTAAGGTGACATATAATAGTTACTTGCTTCTTCGTTGTTTTAACTAAAGCCACATAGTTATGATAAATCGATGCAACCTAACATTACTATGTTAAGGATAATTCATAAAAGTACGACAGGGGTTCCAAGTAAAGTTAATTGAGAGTTTATAATTAACTAGGCATGTTTTAAGTTCGTTTTAATTTAGCTGTAAGGATTGCATGTGATCATAACATTAACAAGCTGCATGCAGATAAGTTTATTTTGTTTTGTTTTAAATTTTAAGGTTAAAAGTCGAAAGAAAGGACGAAACGGCCATAATGGTACGAGTTTGTTGAGTCCCATTTAAATTCTTTGAAGGACGAGGGACGATCAACATGCGTTAATATTTCTTGAAACTACCTTTTTAATTGTATAGCTGACATTAAAAAATGATGCATAGTTCTGTTGTCGATGCCTCAACTTGAAGAGATACTCTACTAGTGCAAAGATCAGTTAAAATCGCACGCTAACTGGGACAATTATTTGTTATTGTGAGGGCGGAGGAGCAGGAGATTTTGTTTTGAATATATTTTCACCTATTGCGAGTCTTTTTTATTTTTTTAATTCATTTTCATCCTTTTTTGGGCAAGGTTCTTATCAGGGCAGCTTTTCTTTAAAATTTGAATTCTTTTACATTTGTCATATCGGAGCCTTTTATAGCTGACTATGCGGTATGTGATTGCTCATTGTTGAAGACCGTGCGATGCCCTATATTTGTTTTTTTTTTAATTTCTGTGTCATTTGGTCTCTAATGAAGAGTTGTCTCATTGACAATCATACCACATTCTCTTTTTTTAATAGATATATATATACAACCGGAACGATACATTATATATATACTACGGATTACAAATGTGTCGAGTTTTGTGATTGGATAACTACACAGAGATGTCGAATATATCAGGAAAATGCCGGGGTATATACGACTTATTTTAACCCAATTGGATTCGGCTCAGGGAATATAAACTCTGAGACCTGAATAACATGTAATATATATATATATATAAAACGTGTACAAACATAAGCTATATTTTAAAATGTGTTGACCACTTTCTGTTTCTTGTTGTTCCTGTTGTTTGTCGCTTCATCCGGAATGGATAACATATAACAATTATCATAACAACTTCTGACAGTTTCAGTAATAAAGTTGCAAACAAAATATTATGAATGGAAAGATGAAAATCACTATTTAAAAAGGAAAAAAATACTAAAATAGACATTTGAAATTATGTCTTTTTAATAACACCTTTTTACCTTATTTTGCCATATTTTGAAACAATAAATTAATGTATTAAACTTGACGCCATGACTCTATAGCTGTTCTAAACTTGACGCCATGACTCTATAGCTTTTCTAAACTTGACGCCATGACTCTATAGCTGTTCAAAACATTAATTTCAATAACATGTTAGTGTCAATAGATTGAAATAGATATGATCATATATGCATTTGTCATAACAAACTATGTAAAACAATAATGTAAAACATCAACACTTTTACAAAAAAAAACCCAAAAAAACAAAAAACAAAAAAAAAAACAAACAAAAAAACAAAAAAAAAAAAACAAACAAAAAACAAAAGAACAACACAATTATAATTTTGGTTTTATGGAAATTTGCAAGAAAGCAATCACGAAACAAGAATGTTATTTTTTTCCAAAGCACATTATTATACAACAAAATTGAAATTATGTTACGCTAGTATTCTATGAGTCTTCTATGTCAACAATATCTAAATATAGTAAGGTTAATTTTAGCTCACAACAAATTATTGATGACGCTTTCAATAATCGATTTGTTATTGTTTATCGGCATATTTTGACGACGGATATTTAATGGGGGACATGTAAGGGATTTCGATACTTGCAAAGTACAATAAAAAACGATTTAGGATTAATTTATCAAACTTTAACATAAACTTGATCATTCAAAACGTTTTTATAAAATATGTCTTTTTCTTGAATGACAGTTTTAATGTCCCGGATGTTTTGTTTTGAGTGAATCCTCTGATCCTTTAGGACATTGGTTTTATTCATATAGTAGGTAAGATAATATATTTTTTATTTCGTTGCAACATGTAAACCGTGTGTCTGCGTCAACTTACAAACAAGACATTTGTCATATATATGCATCTTAATATTCATTAGTACAAATGATAGTGGTATTCATGGCTGCATCAGGTTAAAATATCATAAATTTTCGAACTTGCAATTCACATATTTACATAATTATATATTTATAAACTGTATTTTGTGTTTTCAATCATCTTCGTATCACTCCTTTACTTCATACCAGTAAATTTTCTGTTTCTGATCAACACAGTTTACTCAATATTTACGTATTATTTTGATCCTTCCAGGTATGCATGAAATATTTCCTACTGGACAATACGCAAACCACAATCAATAAAACAATCGTATTATGCCATATAAAAGTCTAAAAATAAAATAAGTTGGTGAGTTAAGAGATTCGTTTTTTTCGCTCCTCTGTTTATAAAAAACAAGTTTTGTTAAAGACTGTTGTTTTGAATTGATTGTATATAAATAGCAGAACTTCAATAAGAGAAAAATATGACAGGTCCGTGTCCAGGGGTGGTATGCATAAAACCAAAAAAAAAGTTAAGATATCCAACTGTAGCACTATTTTATCGTAGGGCATGTAGAACAATCCGTCCGTTTGGAACAAATCTTATCTTAAGTAGTAAGTTTTATGCATACCACCCCTGGTCTTTGAGATAATAATCAATTGAAAATTTGACGGGAAATGATTCTCTTTAGGGTTTTCATACAATTAACATTGGCACTTTTTATTTCACAAACTATGAAAAATAACAAGGATCTTATAAGATTTAAAAACATGGCTTTTGAAACTATATGAAATAAAATTATGAAAAGAAAAGTAGGGTTTAGCGGGCAAAATTAAATTGGAACTACATGTATAAAACTAGGACTCCGAATATCTGACAAAAAGTAAGAAAAAAATAGAGTAGTGAATATCTTTAACACTGGTTCCGGTGCTGCTAAATGTATCCTGAGTTTAGGAAAAAATATTTCTTTTGGCTTAATCTCCAATTATTTACAATAACTAAAGAATCGTTTTGTAGTTTTGTGATTTTACTTTTTTGAATGGCGTATATATAACTATGTATATTTCTGAAAAGGATTGTGTTTTGTTCAACACTAATTTCGTCTGTTCCAAATAAAATATGTTACATGGAAAAAACAACTTATATAATTAGTGTTGGATATTTTCAAAGAGCTGATTTCTAAAATTTATGGAGAGTGGACATTCTAAGAAAAAAAATATTCGAATCTACCAATGAACACTCACATTCATAACTTGGGTCATTTACTAAATTAACTCTGTATACTTCAGCTATTTAAAGGACTACATTTGTGTCGTAATTTTGTATGCAATATATTTCCCATCCGATTTCCAATATTGTTTTTTTTTGGGTACCAAAATGATATATCATTTCGCCGGATTGTATTTTTGTGAAATTTGGAGATGATTGAATGGATCTAATATCTAACGTAAATAAATTCCTTGCACGAATTGAGGAAGGGAAATTTTTTTTAGAAAATATGTCCAATCTACATCTCGGTACTTTTATAGTGAGAACAGTTTCTAGTATTATGATAACAATTATCTGCATAATCTGACATACAATTCATAAGATATTCTGGAACATTATTATGTATATGTATTTAATGGAATAAACATGATTTACGTCTATTTCTTCTAAAACTAAACATTTTCCATCCAGTTTCAAAAAGTAGGGATTCTTTGCTTGCAAACTGCGGAAGTCCAGTTATTATTCTGGCTGCCTCAATCTGCAAGCGCTCAATTTTTCACAATCTCTGACACAACATCCATCCCATAGTTCGCATGCATAGTCTAAAAGTGGAAGTATATATGCGAGCTATTTCTTATCAATATGATTAAGATTGTTTCTGTTATGAATATATTTCAATTTCCTGAGAACAAAAATCTGTTTAGTGGCACTACCGCAAGTATTATTTATATGTACTGACCACTTACAGTCATTAGAAAACGTAACACCCAAATGTTTGTGGTCATCATGATCATCTTTTTTAATAAATTGTCAATTAGATTTAATTTCAAATTAATAGGCTTGAAATCCTTAAGGAAATTAAACACCATATATTCTGTTTTTTGAGGATTAAAATCTACAAGTCACTGTTTTGACCAATTTGTGTTAGTTTCTAGATCCATGATATTTAATCTCCTCTCTATATCTATATCATTATTCGAAGAATGCATAAGTGAACTATCATCGGCAAAAAGTCTATAACGAAACATTGAATTGCATCTGCTTTGTCGTTTATAAACATAAGAAATAATAAGGACTCAAGTACGGAGCCTTGATGCACACCTGCTTTTAATGTTCCATATGTGGACTCTGGATTTTTAGAAGCACTTTCTGTTTCCTATTACTTAAATAATATTCAATCCAACCTAATGATTTGCCTTTCGTGCCACGTTTTTATGCTTGGCGTCATCTGCCGATGTATTGACAACTGGAAAAGGGTGATGGTAAATTCTTGATGGTTTCTTTTTAATTTTATACCCCGATTTTTATATAATTGATATATAAAGGTTGGCATATTTTATTGGTGTTTGCCTATTGTTAAAAACCGTATGTTGTCGTCTAGTTGTATTTGGGCCATTTTGTCTCATTGACGTATTCATACCCCACACCTCCGTTCATTCGAGGTTCGAGTTACTCTGATCATCAGTTTGCAGAGCAGTTTTTCTTATTTCTCTATTAGTTTAGAACTGTTGTACATGTAAAAGATTAATGGAAAACGTTATTTTTATTTTTATGATGCACCTTAATTTTATATGGAAAATACATGCCCTAATCACCATAAAAATGGATATAAAATATTTTAATGTTTTGCACCAATAATTATTGTATAAATATGTCAATTTTTATATTTTATTACTTGCTATTTCAAATGCAAACATCGTTGTGCACAAATTAGCCCAATACACGGTCAATGGAGTATAGAGATAAGAGCAAATGGAATGTTGCATTGACAGTATATATAAATACATGTATAGTCTACTTCTAAAAAAAAAAAAAAAAAAACTTAATAAAAAAAATGTTCAAAATAAACACCTGTAATTGTTTACTTTTTACACATTGTGACTTGGATGGAGAGTTTTGTTATTGGCACTCATACCACATCTTTTTATTTTCTATTAAATGTCACCTGTCTGTAGCGCTATTTGTTTAATCCTTAGTCTAAAAACTCATGACCAGGATCTCATTTGCTTTTGTGCGATTTCATTTTCACTTTTTGAATGCTGTGATATATATGCATTGCTTTTGTATGAAACTTTTAGCTGACAGTTTTAAAAAAAGAAACCAAGTTATTTCAGTGGCTCATTTTGTAGGTTTACGATTTTTTCCCTGGAGAAAGACGTTACTTAATTTAATTTTGTAAATATATATTTCTCTGATTTTTGTAGGTTTACGATTTTTTCACCTTTAGTTAGTAAATTAAGTTTTGTAAATGTATAGTTCTCGTTTTTGTTTAGTTTACAATGAATAAGAAACAAGATTTATCTTTAACTTCATTAATATAGCCGGCATTTCACCAGAAAATGATGTATTCCGAGTGTCAAAATTTATGAAGAAATAGCAAATGTCAAGGGGCAAACTTCACAAGTTGACGAAAAACAAACAACAACAAGACCAACAAGAATAACACACTGGATAAAAAAAAAAAAACGCTACACAGAAAAATAAAAAACTGAACATCAAGAACCCTGATAAATTAAGGGTAAAATAAGGTGTACAGAAGGGTAGAAAAGTTAAACTCATTTTGGTGGTTCATTCACTATTTGACTGAGGGTCAAACCAGCCACTTTTCATCTTTGGCTGTCATGATATATCGTCTGTATAAGGAAAGTGACTTTTGAATTACTCTGACATTACCTGTTATTTATATACGGAAACAAGTACTGATATATTTTCACTACATAACTACTGTTTCATTTTAGTATTGCCTTGGTTGACATGGAGAATAAGAAATTGATTGTTACAGGAGACAGTGGTGTGGGTAAAACATGTCTTCTTATTTCCTACACTACCGACGCTTTCCCAGGTGAATATGTCCCTACCGTGTTTGACAACTATACTGCAAATGTAATGATGGACGGAAAACCATATAGTTTAGGACTTTGGGATACTGCTGGACAGGTAACAGTACTGTAGGCACACACTATATTTGTTTATGTTCTTGTACATATAGTCTTTGTGAGGGTCTGTATTGTGGGGTCTTAATTTCTTTAGACGTTAATTGTTAGGCAACTATTTTTGTTTATATTTTAACACCCTATTATTTTCTATTCTACTTTTATTTATGTCGTTTTGATAAATGTAAATTGAGGTGATATTTTAAAGTGACACTAGCTGTCAAATTGTTCACCGATTTGACCCAAATTCTCATATTTTATTTACATACTAAACGTATATCTAAATTATAAGAATTGAACAAAATTACACTTGTGGTATGTGCTCGATAATATGTATCAGCATTTCGTGTGTGCTTTAGTTTAGACGCCATCTAACTAATCATCGAGGTGACCTTCTAAGACTGCCGACGGTCACATAATCCGATATAAACACAAATCTAGATATAAAAAGATAGCGAACACGTGCCATTGGATTTTTCTAGGTCTGTTTGATTTCATATCAAAGGTAAAAAATATATGCTAATCATCGTTTTTACCTGTATAAGAATGAGTTTTTGTGGATCGAATAAGTCAATCAAATGGTTTACCCTTGTTTCACTTTCAATGTTGACCTTCTTTTTCTTTTAATAACTGAACCCATCTAATTCATGCGTAACCCATCTCTAGCTAAGGAATTAAATTGAAGGTCACATGAATACGGATTCAATGAGGTCAAATTATTCACTTGCAAGTGAATAAGTCATCGGCGGTGTTTCTTAGCTTACTTTGACAAAATTGAAATAAATTGGCTGCTAAAAGCGAATTATCATTTCTCCTTTTCACTTTCAATAATGATTGAACAAAAAACAAATATATTCTAATTTTTATTTATGTCTCGTAGCTAATGCCCATTTAAGCCCTTTATCGGTATTACATTTCAAGAGAAATATGAGAGGTTAAGAAGCTTATCGGTTTGACATTACAGGAGGATTATAACAGATTAAGACCTTTATCGAATTTACATTACAGGAGGATTATGATAGATTAAGACCTTTGTCGTATCCACAGACAGATGTCGTGCTACTGTGCTTCTCCATCAACGACAGATCATCCTTGCTAAACATAGAAAAGAAATGGATACCGGAAATAAAGCACCATCTACCAAATGTAGCTAAAGTGTTAGTTGGTTGTAAAACAGGTAATAATTCTTCAGCACACCTCTATTCTATCGGCAATATTTATTGTAAAAAGTTTTATGCTTTTTCTTTGTAATTAAGGAATTCGTACGGACCATAGATTCACAACGAGTGATTGGCACCGGTATTTGTTTAAGAATGACATAGAGTTAATTAAAATGACAATAAAAAGGCTCAGATTCTTTACAAGTACAATACTATATATGCAAATCAAAGTATCGTGGGTTCCATTGATTAATACCAGCTCATTCCTGTCAAAATGTGTCAGCATAACATCATCTTAACCTCAAACAACATCTGAGTTCAGACCGTTTTTTTTCGGAGGTTCATGATGCTCAATCTTTAGATTTCTGTGCACTTACGTGGTTTGTTGTTAGTCTGACCATTGTTCGACTTTCTTTTCTTTTTTTTTAACATATTTTATGTTGCTTTTCTCGAACCGCAATTTCAATTGAATAGTCAATTTCTTGTCTGGTTGTTTTAGAGATTTAGGATTGATAGAGAAGATTAACGAATTACGTTGACATGTATTGCATTCAATTAACATATTTCAGATTTAAGAGATTCAAGTACAGACACATGCATAACTAAAGCGGAGGTTGAGACTTTTGCCAGTGATCACAGAATGCCATATTGTGAAACAAGTGCACTTACTCAGAAAGGATTGAAGTCATGCTTTGATAAGGCTGTAAGTTATCGATTACAATGTTTAAGCTCATGTTTTGACCGAAAATGGAAATGTATGATACAGCTGACACGAGAATAACAGGAAACTATAACCCTGTCTAAGCATCCGGTCTCGCTACTTTTGGAGAGCATGCGATTCCTAAAGATTTTGTTGATTTGTATCATCTGGATGGATTTATGAGATTTGAAGATAGGTAAAAAACCTATTGTATGCATATTGAACAGCCAGCGGTATACTACTGTTACCTTTATTTAGTACTGAAATACACAACGTTGTATCACTGGGCTATGTTAGAGGGTCTGGATGAGATGTCCTTCATTTCTGTATTCTTTAAGTTTTTTTGAGGTAATTTTTCTTTATTCGTTATATTTTTTACCATTATTTTCTATTATTCATATTTTAACACCCCATTTTCTCTATACCTTATTTTTTGCCTCATTGTTCTCTATTCGTTATTTTTGGCCTTATTTTCTGTTAAGTTGTCTCATCATTTTCTATTCTGTAAACCCCATCCAGTTCCGTATGTTAATACGAGAGTGCAAATATAAATAACATGACAATCCTGATTCTCATTTACACTGAATCATGACACACGCTTTAACTTTGTGACAGAACTACCCAGAGGTAGCATTTGTTAATATTCTTTTGCTCTAATGTGTATAATTAAATGTAAAGCATAACAGGAAGTACAATTTCGGTTCACCTAAAAATAGAGACAAGATATCAAGGGGCCAATCAAAAATAACAAGTCAAACAAAAACATACAGCAGCGTGACCAAAAATCAAATCGACAAAAAGACAAACAACAATAACAAAACACTTCATAAACAATAACAGATTGAGCAACATGAACCAAATCTTAAACCTGGTGTGAAAAACGATGTTATGAAAGGATAAGTAGTTCCTGCTCCACATATGGCACGATGGTCTTGTAGATGCGTGTTCGCCTCCGGTGCACGAGATCCTGGGTCCGAACCACGGCCGGTTCAATCCAACGACTTTAAAATCGGAATTTGCTGCTCCTCCACTAAGCACGCGGCATTAATGAAAATTTAAAGAGCAAAGACTGGTCAGCTCGGACTCAGAATATTGTGTGCGGGTAGGGTTCTTTCTGCGGACTGTTACCTTGTGAACTACCATGTTAAAATCTGGCTCAGCGTGTCGGTCTAGTACGAAGTATGATAAGAATTAATATTAAATTAACACGTTGTCGTCCTGAATATGGTTGTATATTAAATTTCCCGCTAGACGTTAAACAGACATCCATCATCATCATCGAAAGTCTTGTTAAATACCAACAATCAGTAAATCAATCAACTTAGATGTGTGCTCAAACTTTCAGTTGGAGCAGTTGATTAAACTTTGAACGGATTAAATGACAGTAAACTCTTTAAGGAAATACAAAACTCGACACAAACAAACAAAACAAAACAAAACAAACTTCTTACATACTGTAAAGGTATGAACTACAGTCAAACTACTAGCATCGTGTTCACAGAGTTTCTTTTGAATGAAAATCTATTATCTTATCAAAATCCTGAAAAATGTACTGCTATTTAATTATTTTCTTTCCATACTCTAATTCCCCAATAGCTTTTCCGTACGCGGTAACCTTTACTGCATGACCTCTATTTACTACTTTGGCAACCAAACAGCGCAAGTGCGAAGGAAATGCCGGGATGAAAGAAAATGTGAACAACGTGGAAGTTATACAGTGTTAATAGATTTTGAAAGACAAAAAATAATGCAACAAAACCTTTAAAACTATAATTACAACGTTAAATTAACATATAGAAACACATTGAAAAATATATACAAATACCAAACACTGAACTGTAGCATCATCTGTCAGGTTACTTATTTTCCACATCCTCCATTATTTTATGTTGATTGTTTTTTAATGTGACGTTCGGTTAACTTCGGCAAAAGTAAACATGAGAGGTAAATATAAATTAGCAGGGAAACGGTTTTTACTCAATGAAATATTTTTTGTCGATTATATCATGTAAACGTTATAGTGCAAAAAATTGTGCATAGAAAACTTTGTTAAATATATATACATGCATTGTTTCGATTATAACCTTAACATTATAATTTCAAGAAACTGTAAGTATCATATGAATTTGATTATCATATTATTTCAGCTAAGGGAAAGCTGCAGAACAGTTGAAAGAAAGTGGTTTCAAAAGAGATGACACTTTTGTGCAATAAATAAAATAGATAAAGCCAGTATATATATTTATTCATTGCATTGATTGAAAGTGTGTATTTTCTTGTGTACATGTCCACAAAGAACTCCTGTATTGCAAGTCATCTTAGTATTGCTTTTCTTCGAGCACTTTCATTTAGTGTCTATCAAAATTGTTTACTGAGTCGCATCATCAATTAATATATCCAGACGATAGAATATACCAAAAAATCAATAAAATGATTTTTTACGGAGAAGAACAATGAAATTTATATCATAGACAAACAAGGTTGATAAAATACTAAATCGACAAATGCATCTTAGAGATTAACAAACACAAACATTACTAACCTCGAGAAGTAATCTCCTGTACCACTATTTTTGACATCTCTACCTACTATGTCTGTTTGTTTTGTTCACACACTGAAAGTGTCATACAAATGAGAGGTTTAGCTAGCTATACAACCAGGTTTAATCCACCATTGTACATGTCTACGTAAGGAAATGCCTGTACAAAGTCAGTTAATTTTCATTTGTTTGATGTGTTTTGGCTTTTGATTTTGCCATTTGATAAGGGAGTTTCGGCTTTTTTGTTATTTTACTTTTTCCTGTTCTCCACAATGTGGTTGCCGTTTTGGTGCCTCCCGACACATCCGTTCGTTTGTTTATCAGGAGTAAAAATGTAATAGGAATTCATATACGACATATCGTCATCAACGGAACGGAATTAATTGTGGCTACCACGACGATAGAGCTGACGTTAATTCCACAAAACCTGCGAAGAGATTAAAAAGAGAAAAAGAGAAAAACAAAACAACACAAACCAGCACGAATAAGAACGGGAAGTTACAAAATAAACCCACACAAAACACTAAAAAATGAACCAGATGAGATAGCGCTTTCAGATAAATTTTTGGAGCTTTGTTTACCCTGTTTTTTTAATTAAATATTTTAGGTATCACTGACACTTTGGGTCTACTACTTTTCCTTGATTTTATTATATATTGTTCGTTAACTCTCATCCTAGCATTTAACAAAATGGTTGCAGGGTGCGAATTCGAATCACGTAGACGTAATCAAAATATGATAACATTTGTAGCCAAACATTGATACTACAAAATGCTTAATTTGAATTATTAAAGGTAGCACATATCATCAAAAAGTTTTTTTTCAACATTTGATGCAGTGAAAAGTAAACAAACTTCAGTCACAGCAAGTATTGTATAGAAGGAAATCAAATAACAAGAAAATTATGAAATGAAAAAGTATTAAAAAAACCATCCAAGACGGCTTGGTCTTCTATGCGAATATCTGTACTATACATTTGCTATATGATAAGTATCATTAGACATAAATACCATGCAAAAGTTGAGACATTGGTGAAAAGCCCATAAATCATTTTTTTTTCATTTCATATTATTTTATTTATATTTCGAAATTATATTAAAAACTACATTAAACCTGTAATACAACATGTGGTTATAGGACATTTAAATCATAATATGTTAACATTATGTACATTTTGCGAAGATAGATCACTCCATCATATTATTTGATTCTTTGTTAAATTTGACTAAGCAATCTTCTTGAATAGGTTTGTATGAGAAGAACAATTGCCCATTTCTAGATACAATGTACGTTATTAGCAGTCAATTAACAATGAAATATTCGTAGAAATATTCTTAAAATAATTTTTAAATATAGATTTATTTCATGATTGTAATATCGACTTAATACTTTTAAGTTGTAAATTTCCCCGACTCTGTGTAAGTTCAAAATTATTTAATCAGAGACTAAATGTGTAACTGTCACGCCATTGCTATGCTTAGAAAATATTGAGACTTACTCAACGATAGCCAACATTGAAGCTCACAGGCACACATATCGCGAAAGAAAAATAGACTTTTTAGCACCCAAAGTTCCTTTGTTTGTACACCGAGCCAGTGAACTAACAACAGACAGAAAACACCATATAAAAGTCAGTTCAAAGAAAGTTTGCAATTATATGTTACTGAATAATATCTTCAATATCTTCTACTCAGACTTTGTAAAACGTCACCAGTGTCTGAGCAGAAAGTTGATGAACCAGGGGTATGTCAAAGAACGTCTCGTCCTTTTTCTAAACAAGTTCATCGGAAGGTACCAAGTTCTTGTTGATAAATATTCCGTATCAACTTCACAAATAATACATGATGGTCTTGAAGTATAGATTCTGCATACTGACGTTGTTTATCATCTTAACAACGTGTACTATTGTTCTTTCATTTGTCTTTGTTCTATTATTAATATTACTTTTACTGTTTGGTTTGTTTTCTGTGATATCCATTTGACGTGGCTAGGTACTTATACATCCCGTCAATGTGTTTGTATTATCTTTCATTTTTGCTGGTGTGTTTTGTATATGCGACTTTTTGTGTTTCTGTAGTTCTTATAACGTGACTCTGTACTTTAAAAGATCCCGTCATTATGTTATTGTTCTATTATATGTCATTATTTTATTGTTCTATTATATGTCATTATGTTATTGTTCTATTATAAATTTGAAAATACTTTGAACGACAAACGACAAATTTATTTTACTCCCGTAGTGGTATTAACCATATGTGGATTCTTAAAAATTCTAAAGAACTTCTGGACAATTTTAAATCTCGGTCTATTTCTGAAATTAATTCTAACATAACTTTTGATTTTTTAACCCTGTATACCAACATTCCCCATGTGAAATTATAAAATTGTTTTGAATAAACATTGAATGACAAAATTTCTTCTTATGTGGCGTTTACATTTTCTGACGTCAGACACGCGAAGCAATGAATGTGGTTTTTAATTTGATAGATGCTTTTGTTCTTTTTTGTAAATAATTGTTTGTTTTGATATTGTAACACAGTGATGACTGCTGTACCCATATTTTGACTATTTTATTTATAATGTCTGTTTTGTTCACGCATCGTTGTAAATATAACGGAATTTGATAAGACTGTCGTACAAGTGAGAGGTTTAGCGCTATAAAACCAGGTTCAATCCACCATTTTCTACATTTGAAAATGCATGTACCAAGTCAGGATTATGACAGTTGTTGTCCATTCGTTTGATGTGTTTTGTCATTTGATTTTGCCATGTGATTAGGGACTTTCCGATTGAATTTTCCTCGGAGTTCAGTATTTTTGTGATTTTACTTTTCAATCATAATTTCACTTAAACATGTTAAAGAGGTGATAAATAAAATAAATGAAATAAACATATCCAGTCATACCAATTACTTTTTGATTTATCGTCCACTCATAATACATGTATTAACACTGGACAGGGTCTACTCAAAGTTCTAAAACGATAGAATCGTCCCATTCAATACAATATTAAAAAAACTATACATAATTACGGATGTTAGTGTGTCCGAACACTCCAACAATACAATGTTTCGTCTTTTAAACAGCGACTGATAGCAGGTGTCATCTTCACATAAAGTCTTATAGTAGACATTCCACCGTTAAATGAACGATTTCTTTCTCTTTCTTAATTGCATTTTGATCGTGTTATCAATTAGAAAAAAATATTTACTCTGAATTATGAAATCAAATACTAATATTTAATCATTTTGGCTCGGTGGCCGAGTTGCCTAAGTAGTTGAACACCTATATCACTGGCCTGTCAACACTGAAGTTGTGAGTTTGAATACGGCACGTGGCACTTGCGTTCGACTCAAATCTTAATTGACTCGATGATTCTCTCCGAGCACTACGGTTTCCTCGACCAATAACAATGGACCGCCACGAAATTGCACAATATCGCTGAAAGTGGCATTAAACACCAATCATTAAATCAACCATATTGAATCAACAAAATTATTCGAAATTGTTTTGCTAGACATGTAATTGTAGCACATTGCAAAACCTGCTCGTAACATTGATAACATATATCCTTATCAGAACTAATTGGGTGAAGATACGCAATCCCGTTCATGTCGGCGGTAATGGTAGCCTTTTCTTCTAATTCTCTGCCAATATCGTAAACTTTGATATGGGTTTTGACTCGTTTCGAAGCTTTGACATTTTAACATATGAGGTTAAATTTTCGGGGTACGAAGTGACAATCCCTTTTACCGTAATTTAGCACACCCCGAAAAGCCTTTTGTGATTTAGCTTCTAGAGGTAAAAAATCCGTTGTTTCAAACTATAAGTTCTTTGAAAATTTTGTTCTCTGCATCCATTTCATAACTCCATAGTTTTTACACCTTTATTCTATGGTCCTCTGCTCAACAAGCAGCACAAATGGTTTAGCTCATATACGTGTAAAGAAATGAAACACGTCATTGTCCAATATCATATTTTGTTTTGTTTACGCACCACTTTTCAGTTCATCAATATGAGGCGCATTTAGGAAATTAACCCAGTTGCAATCAAGTTTTGATGTTCTTTTTTTCTGCTGTACCACTAGATAACAAACCATGACATTTCAAAGCTACATCGTAACACTTACTAGCCGCGTCTTTTGCACTGGATATCTCATATCATACACCAAGTAGTGTGAATGAATCAAATGATACATTAGACGGAATAAAATAGCTATTGGTAACTGTTTTATATAAATAATGGAAAGCCTGTTGTCCGCTTGAGGATTGACAGCTTAAATGAACTAAAAATAATTGTTTCACTTATAAAAAGAAGGAGATGTAATATGATTGCCAATGAGGCCATTTTCCACCAAAGATAAACCCATACCGTATAGTCGGTTACAAAAGGACTCAACATGAAAAATATGAAACAATTCAGTTGAGAAAACTAACGGCCTAATTCATAACAAAACAACTTACGAAAAAACAAATATGACATACGTGACCATGAACCAACGACAACCACTGAACTACATTCTCCTGACTTGGACAGGCACATTGAGAATGTGGCGGAGTTAAACATATTTGTGAGCCTAAGCCCTTCCCCTTTCCTGAGACAGTGATGTTAGACTACCAAATTAACATGTGTAGTAATTCGTTGTAATTTTTTCTTCTTGTTTTATGAAAGAATATATGATCTTTGAAAAAAAAAAT